CTATTCTCTGTCCCAGGTCAGGGTCACCTCTGAGCCCTCCTGGTGTCTCTGTAGGCTGTGGAGTACCCCGAGTTCCTGGATCTCCGCCCGTACATGTCCGAGGGCGATGGAGAGCCCCTCTATTACTCCCTGTATGCTGTCCTGGTGCACAGTGGCTACAGCTGCCATGAAGGACACTATTTCTGCTACACAAAGGTAAACAGCAACTTCCTTCCTTCCTTCCTTCCCAACGAGGAGAAGGCGTGCTGGGGAAGAGGAACTTTCCTGTGGGTATTACCAACAGCCAAGGTTTTGGGCCAGAAGGTCTCCTTAGGGGCTGCACTGGATTTCTTTTGGCACACTCTTTGTTAGGTAGTTTTCTGTCCATGTTTTTGGGGAGAAGCCATGCAGAGATCCTTGCCTTTATTTTCACAGGCCAGCAACGGGCTGTGGTACCAGATGGATGATGAGTCTGTGGAGGTTCGTAGCATTGACACAGCTCTCGGGCAGCAAGCCTACCTGCTGTTTTATGCCAGGTAAGACAATGGAACAGGCTGCCCAAAGAAGCTGTGGGTGCCCCATCCCTGGAAGAGTTCAAGGCCAGGTTGGATGGGGCTTGGAGGATCCAGGTCTATTGTAAGGTATTCCTGGCCATGAGCGGGAGTGGAACAAAAGGAGATTTAAGGTCCCTTCCAAGGCAAACAAGTGTGTGAATTTATGGAATGGAGGCTGTAGAAGGTAGAAAGATGAGGTTTTGCTGGGACAGGAGCAGGCCGGGTGGGAATACTCTGGTTGACCTTTTCATTTGTGACCTTGGCTAAGTTGCTCTGTCATAGAAACCTCTCCAAGAAAATGACTGAAGCCCAGAGGAGGCTGCAACAACAGCCCTAAAGTGAGATCACTCTTTTTTTCTGCAGATGCTCTGATCTGAGGCTTGGAGAAAAGGCTTCTTCCTCGCTGGCACCATCATATGCGCCATCCGTCCTCAGTCAGTGGGCATCCTGCAGCAAGCAGGTGGCTTCTGTAGTCCCACAGGATTTGCCTGACAGGACAAAGGTAACTGGGGAGGAGAGTCAGGGCACCACAGGAGCTGTGGATTTCTTTCTAGGATCTCTGCATTTCTCCCTTTTCCCCTGGCACCCTGGCAGCATTCTTCACAGCCACAATGCTGCTTCCTGTCAAAGCATGCCTCCTGCATCCATGCCATTTGTGTGCCTTTGGCCCTTTGGCCTTGGCAGCCCTCCAGAAGGGCCTTTGGGAGGCTCTGAAATGTGCCCTCCCAGAGCTTCTGGGGCTTCCCCACTGACCCTCGCCTTTTCAGGTGAGAAGGGCAGGAACTCTGCACAGCTCTCTTTCCAGGATATGGTGCTGAATGTGGAAGACCCTGGCCAGGAGGAGGTGCAGAGCGGATCCCCACTGTGGAGCAAGGAAGCCTGCAGCTATGTTACGGACACCACCGGCTGTGATGACGCCACAGGGCCTCCTCCAAGTTGTGGCCAAGATCCCATAGATGATGCTGCTTCAGGGCCTTCCAACAGGAGCTTGGAGTTGGCCTGTGGACCTGGGGATGCTTGTCAGGAAACCCTGCTGATGCAGGAAGAGACAAGCAGTTCCGTGTGGAGCGGCTACGACCTCCGCAGCCGCTTTGTGCAGCACACAGGCTTCAACTCTTCATCAAGGAAGAGGAAAAGGGAGACAAGGAATTCTCCCTGTTGTGACAAAACTCCTGTTGATGATGCAGTTCCAGGGCCCTCCAGCACCAGCCTGAAGCAGGCTGCCATGCTTTGGGCTGGTCCAGAGCAAACCCAACTGTGGTGGAACGAGCAGAGAAGATCCCCAGAGCAGGGCTGTGACCTCCATGGCCTCTCTGTGCAGTGCACAGACCAGCAGCCCTCTCTGAGCAAGAGGAGGAGAACAAATCCTCCAGGATGGGACAAAGCCCCAGTGGATAATGCAGCTTCAGGGCCCTCCAACATCAGCTTCCAGCAGTCTTGTGTGCTCAGGGCAGCTCGTGAGCAAATCCAACTGAGGCTGAGGGAGCAGAGAAGCTGCCCACAGCTGGGCTACGATTTCTGCTGCCGGTTTGTGCGTTTCTCAGCCCACCACCGTTCAGTGAGAAAAAGGAGGGTTTGTGTGCCCCAGAGACGCAGGTCAGGGAAGCACTCGAGGCACTCTAGGAGTGCTGGTGGCAGATGGTGGCGCTGGCTGAAGCAGAATGGGAAATTAGCACTGCATTTTTTAGCAGAGCTGTCCATGTTTTCTACACCCATTCCCAAAGAAGAGGGAACAATTTAGTTCTATGGCTGATGATGCCAACGACTAGTCTAGAAGGTTTTAATTAGTCTAGTCTAAAAGGCATAATAATTCCCAGGAGGAAGTGATCACAGAGAAAGGAGACCAGCAAAGGCAGTAGTTAAGTTAGTGGGTGAACGCTGGTCATTCCTGTGGAAGAGGTGGGAAAACCAGAGAGCTCTGCTGCTGATGCGGTGACAGCAGCAGCAGCAGGTACAGCAGGGCCTCTTTAGAGAAAGTACCATGGACTGGAGCACTTCAGAATGACCTTTGATGCTCCTGTGAACTGGGGCACTGTCACTGATCACAAAGATGGGAGACTGCAGTTCAGCAGCTGGTACAAGCAGTACCTCGACTCTTTTCAAATGGAATTTCTCTGCAGTCATTGCTGAGGAAATAGCTCCCCCAAAAAGGATCCTCTTTCCACCAGAGAAGATTTACAGGGTCTGGCAGCAGCAGCAGAGTGCTGGAGCGGGGCTCTTCAATGTGGGCAACACGTGCTTCCTCAACGCTGTCCTGCAGTGCTTGACCTACACACCGCCACTGGCCAACTACCTGCTGTCCCGAGAGCACAGCAAGGCCTGTGAGTGCTTTTGGGAACCCCTCCTGAATATGTGTTAATCCAATACCAAAGATTCTCAGAACCTGGAATTAGATTTAGGAGAACAGCAGCCCTTTGTCAGCCCCATGAATTGATGTTCTTTGAACACTCAAGCCTCTATAGAAGCCACTTGTCCTTGCCAGCTGTCTTACCCTTCCTGAAGACACCTCTTTCTAGCTCCAAGTCTTTATTCCAGCAAGTTAAAGCAGCCTGGCTTATTGCACAGAAAATTGTTGGTCCGGCATCCCTCTTAAGAACATTTTCCACACACTAAAATGTCCTGGGATCGTTGGGTCATTGGGAGGAGTGGAGTATTGCGCTAAAGTGAAAGATGAGGAGGAGGATCGCACTGCTGTGGATACCTGGCTAACCTAAAGACTTTCCCTGTGTCTCTGTTCAGGTCAGCAGCAAGGTTTCTGCATGATGTGCACCATGGAAGCACACGTTAACAAGGTCTTGCATTCCCCTGTCAGTGCCATCGTGCCTTGGGCTGTCCTCAAGGTTTTTGGACGTAAGTCATGGCAGGTGCTTTTGACAGCTTTTCTTCCCTTTGTGTATGAGAAAAGGACAAACTTCTTCTTTCTTAGGCATAGGAGAACATTTTCAGCTTGGTATGTAGGAAGATGCCCATGACTTCTTGTGCTGTACGGTCAATGCCATGCAGAGAGCTTGTCTGAGCGCCAGCAGCGAGTAAGCACAAGGCAATCACCCTCACAAAGCTCGGAGCCCTTTGGACTGCTTGATGTGCCACAATCAAGGGAAACCTAAACCCTGGGCTTTCAGGCCAAGCAAAACTCATGGAGGAAGTAACGCTTAAGTGTCTTATCACTTGTTTCCAGCTTGGACCTCTCTTCTGAATCCACTACCATTGTCCATCAAATATTTGGGGGCTTTCTGAGATCCAGAGGTGCGTTTCCACAGCTATTACTCTCCTTGACATTGCCCGTGCCCTTCTGTCTGCCTGTGCTCGACACTTGGTCCTGGGACTAGTGGGACAGGTGCAATGTGTAAATGGGCAATGCCAGTCAGCTTGCCATTGCTGAGCATTTGGATTTTCCCTTCCAGTCACCTGCTTCAGCTGCAAAGCCATTTCTGACTCCTACGAGGCCTTCCTGGATGTTCCTTTGGATATCAATGTAAGAGGCTTTGCAGTTGTGCTACAAGACATCCCAAGGCCCTGCAGCTGCTTCCCAAAGTCAACACATTCGTCTTAAAAATATAGCCTGTGAACACAAGAGGTCTTGGTGGTGGGTGGGAAGGGCAATGGATAGCGTCCCCCTGCAGAGGCTGTGGCACTGGGCTCTCTGCAGGTGCTGTTTTTAAGCTGGACAAACAGCAATTATCCTCTCTGCACCCTTGATACATCGTCATCCTTCTTCTCTTTGCCTGCCCTCCCGTAACACCTGTCTGGCTCCCAGGCTGAAGGGTTGTTTGCATTGTTGTTTGCACCACTGATGCCCCTGCACACTGTCATTAGTTGAACTGAGCGGGGGCACAGGGACAGAGCTCTTGACAGCTCCAGGAGCTGCTGGGAGATGGGGAGGTGTTCAGCGTCACACTCTCTTTCTGCCTCCTTCTGGATAGGTTCATGGTGGGTCTCTTCAGCGTCAGCTATGGGGCTTTTCTGGTCAGCTTCTGGGAAATGCTTGGGTGAGGGCATTTCCTGCAGCTCAGCGTGCCCATTTCTCACTCCTCCAGGCAGCCTCGTCCCTCACTGCAGCTCTGGAAGCCTTTGTGACACCTGAGCAGCTGGATGGTGAAAACTGCTTTAAATGCAACAAGTGAGATGATTACTAAGAACATCCAGAGTAAGACGGGATGCTGTTGGAGGGGGCTGCATGTCATTGAAGAGAAGTCATCTTCCTGTGCAGGTTTACTGCACGCAGATGAGATGCAGCTTTTGGCAAATATGGCAGTGAAGAGCCTTAGAATAACAAAAGCTGTGTGAGACAGGAGAGGTTGCCTGGCCAGCTTGGGGGAAGATTGGGTGCATTTCAGCACTGGGCTGTGTCTGTGCTTGCTTTCAAGGTGTACGGAGAACGTTGCTGCCTCCAAGAGGTTCACAATCCACTGTGCACCCAAGGTTCTGACCGTGTGTCTGAAACGGTTTGACTGTTTCACCGGCGGGAAGATCAACAAGGTGTGTACACAAGTGGTGTGCAGCTTTCTTTCCCTAGAGTAGATTTCCTAGAGCTTGTCACAAGCCACTCGTTAGTGATGTTAGTTGTTGGGTAGTAGTTGTCTGTAGGTACAGGTAGTGGTATGTGGTTGGGTTCGTTGTGCTCTCTCCTTGGGAGAAATGAATTCCCATGGGAAGACAGGCCAGCGCTCTTCTCCCACAGCGCTGCTTTGGCCAAGAGCAGTTTCCTGCCACCCAAGGCATTACACCTTGCTACACGAAAAAGCAGCTGCTCATGGGCCCCAAGGATGTATTTCCACACCTCTGGACCCTGGATGTGGCAGGCTATTCTCTGTCCCAGGTCAGGGTCACCTCTGAGCCCTCCTGGTGTCTCTGTAGGCTGTGGAGTACCCCGAGTTCCTGGATCTCCGCCCGTACATGTCCGAGGGCGATGGAGAGCCCCTCTATTACTCCCTGTATGCTGTCCTGGTGCACAGTGGCTACAGCTGCCATGAAGGACACTATTTCTGCTACACAAAGGTAAACAGCAACTTCCTTCCTTCCTTCCTTCCTTCCTTCCCAACGAGGAGAAGGCGTGCTGGAGAAGAGGAACTTTCCTGTGGGTATTACCGACGGCCAAGGTTGTGGGCCAGAAGGTCTCCTTAGGGGCTGCACTGGATTTCTTTTGGCACACTCTTTGTTAGGTAGTTTTCTGCCCGTGTTTTTGGTGAGAAGCCATGCAGAGATCCTTGCCTTTTTTTTCACAGGCCAGCAACGGGCTGTGGTACCAGATGGATGATGAGTCTGTGGAGGTTCGTAGCATTGACACAGCTCTCGGGCAGCAGGCCTACCTGCTGTTTTATGCCAGGTGAGACAATGGAACAGGCTGCCCAAAGAAGCTGTGGGTGCCCCATCCCTGGAAGAGTTCAAGGCCAGGTTGGATGGGGCTTGGAGGATCCAGGTCTATTGTAAGGTATTCCTGGCCATGAGCGGGAGTGGAACAAAAGGAGCTTTAAGGTCCCTTCCAAGGCAAACAAGTGTGTGAATTTATGGAATGGAGGCTGTAGAAGGTAGAAAGATGAGGTTTTGCTGGGACAGAAGCAGGCCGGGTGGGAATACTCTGGTTGACCTTTTCATTTGTGACCTTGGCTAAGTTGCTCTGTCATAGAAACCTCTCCAAGAAAATGAATGAAGCCCAGAGGAGGCTGCAACAACAGCCCTAAAGTGAGATCACTGTTTTTTTCTGCAGATGCTCTGATCTGAGGCTTGGAGAAGAGGCTTCTTCCTCGCTGGCACCATCATATGCGCCATCCGTCCTCAGTCAGTGGGCAGCCTGCAGCAAGCAGGTGGCTTCTGTAGTCCCACAGGTTTTGCCTGACAGGACAAAGGTAACTGGGGAGGAGAGTCAGGGCACCACAGGAGCTGTGGATTTCTTTCTAGGATCTCAGCATTTCTCCCTTTTCCCCTGGCACCCTGGCAGCATTCTTCACAGCCACAATGCTGCTTCCTGTCAAAGCATGCCTCCTGCATCCATGCCATTTGTGTGCCTTTGGCCCTTTGGCCTTGGCAGCCCTCCAGAAGGGCCTTTGGGAGGCTCTGAAATGTGCCCTCCCAGAGCTTCTGGGGCTTCCCCACTGACTCTGGTCCTTTCAGGAGAGAAGGGCAGGAACTCTGCACAGCTCTTTTTCCAGGATGTGGTGCTGAGTGTGGAAGACCCTGGCCAGGACGAGGTGCAGAGCGGATCCCCACTGTGGAGCAAGGAAGCCTGCAGCTTTGTTACGGACACCACCGGCTGTGATGACGCCACAGGGCCTCCTCCAAGTTGCGGCCACGATCCCATAGATGATGCTGCTTCAGGGCCTTCCAACAGGAGCTTGGAGTTGGCCTGTGGACCTGGGGATGCTTGTCAGGAAACCCTGCTGATGCAGGAAGAGACAAGCAGTTCCGTGTGGAGCGGCTACGACCTCCGCAGCCGCTTTGTGCAGCACACAGGCTTCAACTCTTCATCAAGGAAGAGGAAAAGGGAGACAAGGAATTCTCCCTGTTGTGACAAAACTCCTGTTGATGATGCAGTTCCAGGGCCCTCCAGCACCAGCCTGAAGCAGGCTGTCATGCTTTGGGCTGGTCCAGAGCAAACCCAACTGTGGTGGAACGAGCAGAGAAGATCCCCAGAGCAGGGCTGTGACCTCCATGGCCTCTCTGTGCAGTGCACAGACCAGCAGCCCTCTGTGACCAAGAGGAGGAGAACAAATCCTCCAGGATGGGACAAAGCCCCAGTGGATAATGCAGCTTCAGGGCCCTCCAACATCAGCTTCCAGCAGGCTTGTGTGCTCAGGGCAGCTTGGGAGCAAATCCAACTGAGGCTGAGGGAGCAGAGAAGCTGCCCACAGCTGGGCTACGATTTCTGCTGCCGGTTCGTGCGTTTTTCAGCCCACCACCGTTCAGTGAGGAAAAGGAGGGTTTGTGTGCCCCAGAGACGCAGGTCAGGGAAGCACTCGAGGCACTCTAGGAGTGCTGGTGGCAGATGGTGGCGCTGGCTGAAGCAGAATGGGAAATTAGCACTGCATTTTTTGGCAGAGCTGTCCATGTTTTCTACACCCATTCCCAAAGAAGAGGGAACAATTTAGTTTTATGGCTGATGATGCCAACGACTAGTCTAGAAGGTTTTAATTAGTCTAGTCTAAAAGGCTTAGTAATTCCCAGGAGGAAGTGATCACAGAGAAAGGAGACCAGCAAAGGCAGTAGTTAAGTTAGTGGGTGAACGCTGGTCATTCCTGTGGAAGAGGTGGGAAAACTAGAGAGCTCTGCTGCTGATGCGGTGACAGCAGCAGCAGCAGGTACAGCAGAGCCTCTTCAGAGAAAGTACCATGGACTGGAGCACTTCAGAATGACCTTTGATGCTCCTGTGAACTGGGGCACTGTCACTGATCACAAAGATGGGAGACTGCAGTTCAGCAGCTGGTACAAGCAGTACCTCGACTCTTTTCAAATGGAATTT